CACGAAGAGATTTTGAAAAGAGAGAGAGGGTTGATCAGTTGATCTGTCGACCCACTCTTAATATTTATATATGTTGACTAATTGTAAAAGGGCTGAATTGCCCTTATTGCTTACATGGCAAATAAACTAATAATAAAGCTGAAATAACAAGCTGTAATAACAAAATGAAATAACTACCAACTAACACTGACATAACTAACAAAAATATGCTGCCATATGAACACAGAGGGGGCCACAGCAGTGGGGTCCACATCAGTGTTCTCTACACACTTAAATAGTTCAAACCCAAAAATACAATATTAATGTTAATATGATTTGATGGATGAGTGTGAAATAGATTACCAGACCAGTACCATAAGTCTCAGCCTTGGCATATCTTCTAGGAAATATTTGGAAGTCAACAGCCAAGATGCATAAGCATGTGACAATCATCTATAGAAAGCAATCTTCATGAGGGATAGCAATGAAGAAAATAAAGAAAAATGATTCAACCAAATAAGTAAGCATGGGAACAACATACCATTGACACTCTGTATGATGAAATATTTGTCCTAATAGAATAAACTGATTGGGACCTTCCTTTAGAGTAAGGAGAATAAGAACCAAACCTGGTTAAGGTTTACAGAAACTCAAATCAGGGTTTAAATATCTTAAGTAGTTTATATGGTCAATTGCTCATACAACATCTTGGAGGATTTCAAACATGTTGCCTATAAGTCCTCGCCAATAAAAACATTGCTTACCTTTTCATTACAATACAGAGAAGAAGAAATATCAACAACAAAACTGCACACATATTTGCCCATTCTGCTAGAACCTGTCACGGAAAGAAAATGAAAAAGCAACATATCATGCCAAAAAATAGACATTTGCTGTTTTCACCGAAAATATCTTGAACCAAACATAGATGTACACCTTTTTATTGACTGATGTAATCGACATTGAAATATTTAACTCCTAAATGCAAGACTTTTTTTGTGAGGGTGTGCTTAGAAAGTAAACAAGAGATGGTAATCAAAACTTCAGTCAGAAGTTGGGGTTGAAGATTAGGGAAGCTAACAAGGCTACTGTGTTACTGGAAGGTGTTGGAGTGATCGAGTGGTTTAAGGACTTTGTACTTGGAGCAAGTCTCAAAGGGAAGCAAAAAGTCAGAACGAAGGGTTGACAAGATGGCAGGTCGTTGGAGAAGGGCATTGAAGGTGGAAGCAAAAAAAAAAAAAATTCTGTTTGAAGAATGGAGATCTAAAGGAGTGCTGGGGTTGAAGATTAGGGAAGCTAAGAAGGCTACTGTGTTACTGGAAGGTGTTGGAGTGATCGAGTGGTTTAAGGACTTTATACTTGGAGCAAGTCTCAAAGGGAAGCAAAATGACTGGAAAGAATTTGGCTCTGAAGAAGGAAAGAGGTATGTCGTAGAATGCAAAAGGAACATCAAAGGAGCATATATAGCCTAACTAGAATATTTTGGAAAGGGTAAGAAGCAGATTGCTTGCTTCCCTGAAGGAAGACAGGGCCAAGGTTGGAGGGAAGTATCTGGAATACTTAACGAGTTCTTCCAATGCCTGGAAAATGCACAAGCAGAGGTCCCAACAGAGTTGAAAGAGGTTAAAGAAAATAGTAGTAATACTGAAGATCTGGGACAAGAGATAGTGGTTATGGCAAAGACTAATGGGAAATGTAAGATGGCTGCTTTCTCAAGAAAGGAAGATTGGGAGAGTAAGTTTGTAATCCAAGCTAAAAACCATGTCAGTGACTGGAGGAGAGTTGCAGACTTACTGATACAAAGATTGAAATTGAAAGGTATGTTTATTGTAACCCCTTTTGAGAGTTGTAAGGCTTTGTTGGATCTGGTTGAAGATAGGTTAGACCTGTCTGCAACTACCATTCAACCAGATCTTGGATTATTTACAATCTTTAGACAGAGTCCTCTTTCCAACTCTAAAGAGTTCTCTTTTGAAGATGATGTGATTGTGCGTATCTTGGGCTTGCCCTTCCACCTGTGGAGGCAAGAAGTGGCTGAATCTATAGCCCAGCTGTGTGGAGGGCGACTCACTGGTGTCTTCTGGGGGGATCTCCACTCAGCTGCTATATTATTAAGTGGAGTAAGGCCAGAAGATCTGCTGAGGAAAATAGACTTAAGAGTGGAGGGCTTCTTCTACTCAATTTGGCCGGCTTCCTCCATAAAAGCAGGCCTGTAGAAGGAGGCTCAGAAGGAGGAGAATGAAAAAGTGGAAGATGTATTGCATGGATCAAGGGGATTGGTGAGTTCAAATGGGAAAAGAAGTTTCACCAAAAAAGGGTAACAGGAGCTGATGGGGTTGGAAGGTTTGATGCAGATGGAAGATCAAAAGAGTGGCATACAAGGTAACAAGGTGGCGTGTAGCAGGTCTTACGCACAGGTGGTCAAAGGTGGCAGTTTTTTAATTCAAAATTTATACAAAGAAGGGGGGATGGTAGGTCTGACCCAACCTGAACCAAGAAAGGAGGGAGCTGATCCATCCTTATTTGGGTCTGGGCTTGACAATTTAAGGGATCATGTGTTGGACGTCTCTGGTCATAATGAGCATCTGATCTTAGCAAGGCCCACAGGTAACAATGAGCCGAGGCAAGCTGGGCTTAAGATAGCCCATCCTGGGATAGGTGAGTGCTTAAAAGCTCACGTTACTGAAGGTAAGGTGGGCTCAAAGGGTGAGGCACATGAGTCACTTAAAACTCACATGTCTGACAGGGGGGTGGCTTTGATAGATGGTAAGAAACATCTATCATCTTCCTCCTCAATTTCTTCCTCTCGACCAAAGGCTACAAGAGCAGGTTCAGCTTCAACTGGCTCTCTACAGTGGATTCCAATGCAGAAACTAAAATCGTTGTCAGCTGATAGATGCAACCCAAGGTCTATTAGGTGCAGCGATCTTGAATCCTCAGTAGATGGCAACTGGTCTGAGGACGAAGGAAGTGGCGTATAAGTTCTGATGACACAATCAGTTTGGTTAGTGCTGATTTGCATCAAAATGTGAAGTTCATGGAAGAGGAAAGCTTTAATACAGATATCTTATTTCTGGAAGAAGATAAAGGGGCTGGAGGTAGATAGAGTGAGGATTGTTTGCCTGGGTCTGACGCTGTGCACTCCTTTTCTCCTTCCATTGAGGGGGCTGCTCCAACCTCTTAGTTTTGTCAAGAAGTTAGCAAAGGGGAGCAGGACACACTACAAAGGAAATCTGTGAAGATAGCCCAGAAAGGACAATACAGGGACAAACGTTTTCAGCAAATAGACTAGCCAAGGGAGACTACTTGTCCATACACACTTCTCAGCAAACTCCGACAAGGGGAATAGAAGTTACATCCTCTTGTTCTAATCCCCATATAAAAAGCTTCTGTACTCCTCAGTCAGACCCTGCCTCTCCAGGTATTATTTTCCCTTTGGTTTTTGGTGTTGACATGTGTGCTGAGCCTGTTGCAGATACTCCAGCATCGCATTTTGTAAGGGGTAGTGGTGGTGTGGGGGAAAGGAAAGTGGGGGGATCTGAAAAGGTTAAAGAAAAGAATGGAGCAGCAGTAGGCAAGGAGGTGGAAAGGTTCTGGAGATTGATTTGTGAAGAATTGGAGGAGCTTAGGAGAAGGGAAGGATGTGGGGAAAATAGTGCTCAGAGGGAGGACTTGAGTAGTAAACAGGAAGAGTTGGAAAAAGGAGATAGTGAGGGGACTGATCTACTTCCAAAACCTGAAGGTAGAAACCGAACTAGTGGATTAGGTAAATTAGAGGGTGGAGAGGAAATATTTCAGAGGAAGGTGGAGGAAAAAAAGAAAAAAAGTCTGAAGTGGAAAGATTAATCTCTGACATTGAGGGTGATCTAGAGTTTAGCGGGAGGGGAGAGAGGAGGAAGAACATCAGGTAAGAAATGGGGTCAAGTAGGGTCATTGATTGAAGTGTGTAGAGAAACTGATGTGGGCCCCACAGCTGTGGGGCCACTCTGTCCGTAGGGTAGAATATACCTAGTCTATCTGTTATGTTATTCTGTTATTCTAGTTCTGTTATTTACTCTTCAGTTTTTTATATTGTTAAGTGTTATGATGTAAACACCAAGGGCAGATATGTCCTTCCATGTAACTAGCATAACATATAAATATTAAAT